CGTGCATGAAGAGCATTGTGGAGGAGCTTGGCCGGACTTGGAGAAGACAAGTACAATTCGCTCGATGTGGTCATAGAGGAGGTGTAATGAGCATGCATGGAGTCGGTGCGCCGTCATAGTGACTTCTTCCATTTCCGTTGCTGCCGTCGTATGATTGGAGATTGCGGGGAGGCCTAGGAACTACCTTGCTGAGGCGGCGCTTGCCATCGTGTTCATCCGTGGGTTGTCGTCCATCTTCACAAATGCGTGCCACGTGATGAGCCTGGTCGTGCCAAGCACCACCTTGGAGATATGCCACCGCCCATCATCTTTCCGACAAAAGCCGCCGCTTCAAGAAATGATATCTCGTGCCGTGCAAGCGTTATGGTTAGTTGCTGAAAAGCAACGCCACATGCTGAACTTATCCTAGCAGCAGCATGCCCCTGGGGTGTAGGGGCTGACTGTGACGCTAAAAATGTCAGGCGCATCTTGTGGCCGCCGACATGTGTTTAGGGGCCTGTTTGGTTGTGATATGAGAGTTTGGAGCATATATGTCTCAGTTGGGTCTGATTGAGGGAAAACAGGTAAAAAACAATATTTGCATCTTGTTTGGTTGCCGCATCGAGGCTGCCTGCATTAGGGGATATGTTTTCGCATGGTGTTTGTCGTCCTGCATTGTCTCAACTCACGCAACTACATGATGTTTGGTTGCACACATGCTGCGAGTTGTGCTAACCTTGTACCCTACGTGGTGAGCTTACTCGCTGCACCTTACACAGGATCACAGCTAGCACACCAATGCCATAGCACTGCAATGGCGACAAACTGCACGATGATGACGAAGTTCTTCACCCCAAAGTGTCATGCCGCCTTGCCAACTTCAACATTGCATGCTTGCTTTCGAACAAACTTGGAGTAAGCGTCCTCTGCCGCATGGCTGCTGTGTTTGTAACCTATTACTTGTTACCTGCTACTGTAAACCCCTAAGCCCTCCCGATGAGCACCATGCACATACCACTTGTCCTAGCAGTGCAGAAGAGCAGCAGTTCAAGCAACAAGCAAAGGAGCACACAAGCAGCAAGCAAAGGAGCAAAAGAGCAATATTAAGCATGCTGATCATATGGCATAGCAAGTTTAACCTATCTACTATAGTGTCATCCTACCATCACATCCAAAAGAGGGTGTAATCCTACCACCACAAGTTCGTCATCAGTGTGAGGGGTTAGTATATACCACCTAAGCAAAATATATAGACCATCAAGTAGTTTTCAAGCCCTAGCTACACAAAATGTATGTCGTCATCGTCATCATCGTCGGCACCGCCATCGCCATCGCCATCACCATCGAGGATCATGAACGCAGTAATCGGCACCAGAGGCAACACTAGTAGTAGTGCTTGCCCAGCCAGCTCCTGAGTTAGAGCACCCTGTGAGCGTCTGCCATGGCATCAAACTCAACACCCTGGGCCTTTTTGTCCAGCAGGTGGCTCAAAGCAGCCATCATAGCCTCTTGGCTGAAGCCACCACGGTCCATGACGGTGGTGTATTGGTCACGGTGGACGTCGATGGACTTGCTCTCCCATAGGGCGGTTGCCACCTCCTTCACGTCCCCAGTCATGCTGGTGAAGACACTAATCTCCTCCTCCATCAAGTCTCCCTTCTTGCTCTTCCTATCAAGCACAGGGATGTTCTCAAAGGGCTTGTCAGGGCCATCAAGGACTGCCTCTGCGTCCTGGGTGTCTGGGAACTCAGGCACGGGTGAACCGAGAGGCTTGCACCGGAGCCCATGGCATGCTTGCTGGTTTCCATCCCAAAGGAGAAGATGTGTTTCATCTGGTTGTAGTTCTGGATGGGTGTGTTGAGGAACTCCGCATCTTTGGGGTGGTCCTAAGAAAGAAACACAATGTTGTTAGTTGCGAGAAGGCAATGGTTGACATGCTTAAAGCAAGGAGGGCGTGAGCTAACCGCGACGTGGCCGGTGTAGTGCTCTTCCTCCAGAACGATCGAGCAAGTGTTCTGATCCCATGAGGCGCTACTAAGGTCTCTGAGCTTGGACACTGTGATCCATCTCGCTCTCCACTTCCTCAGGTGGTTGTAGACCTGGGTGGAGGTCACCTCCTGGCCATAGAACTCGAACACCTACTTCGCAATGGTGTTCAAGTGCGCCTACTTGAAGCCCTTGTTAGTCCTAACCCCACTAGACGCACATCTTTTTAAGCACGAATGTGGACATGAACGGCTCACTTCATGTCCCCCCCTACCATCCTTCTCTGCCTTTGTGGCTGCCGTTTACATAGCAGCAACAGTTGCCTCAGCGAGCACAAAGGCTGTAGGCACAAAAGGAGGACCCGTGCCAGAAACCTCAAACACATCTAAATCAGCAGGCATCTGGTCATCGAGGGGGGCTGGGAGTGCTCGACATTGGACAGAGGGAATTGGCTCTTGGACAGGACACTGGCCTGACTAAGATCTTGCGTTTGCGTGGTCATCTCCTACAGTCGCACCACACATTGACAATAAGCATATCACACACTATCGAATAATTTAGCTCAACAAAGCACATATGAGCAGCATACATCACAACTAGCTACCAATCCATTGTGTTGAACACTACCCTAGCATGCAAATCCACCACCAATAGCTACCACAACATCACAATCTCACAGATCGGCACACGATACAACCCTAGCATGCTAGAAGGTGCTCACAGATCAAACCCTACCACAAGCTCGAACATCAAACCGTACCACAAGCTCTCAGATCTAGCTACAACTAGTACAAAGAAGGGGGTGATTGAACTCACAGAGGCCATCACTGCAGCTCGAGGAAGACGCGGAAACGGATGGAGAAGATGAGGACACGAGTCACCGTCGCCATGGACCGCAGGCCTGAGAGGAGCGCCGCTTACCAGCTCGTCTGTGTCGATGCACGTCGGAGGGAAAGCTCGAAAGGAAGGAGATGAGTAGCGGGAGTTTCGAGGGTGAGGCGAAGGGAGCAATATAGGGCGACCGAATCAACGGGAAGTGACTCGAAATCCTCCCGCCGATTTTTTGGAGATGCGCGCGAGCTCGCGCCTCTCCGTGGTCGCATGAGCTCAGCGCCGTGTTCCCCTCCCCTGCTTCGGCCGAGCCTGGCTCGCCAGAAACTGCCGATTCGGGTGTTCCTAGCGGGCCTGGCTAGGAGCTACTTTAAAGTTTGTGCTATGCGGCCCAAATAGTGTATGCGAGCAGTCAAACAAGCCAAATTCTCCTGTGCGGGCCTGGTTGGGCTCTATGCGACGTACCAAACACGCCCTAGGTGGACGTTGATGAGGCAAGGTCAATGGTCATAACTTGTCATCATGTCAAGTTTAGGTTAAAACCAAGCCACTACCATTACTCGTACCACTATAGCGGTACCAGGGACCAAATATATATAGCTTTACAATTTGAGGGCTAGGTTTTCCTAGTTTTGCAATCGAGAGACCATTTTTAGACTTACACAACAATTTTAGGAAGTCGTCAACCGAATGACTGCCATGTCGGAAATATCCTATCATGGTAATATAGGTGACGATTATTATTTGAGTAAATTCCGTCGTTTACCTTACAAGCTGGAAACTCTGAAAAGAAAACCCCATTGAAAGAACTTTTCATCAACGTATCAAATTTAAAACCTAAATACCAAAATGTTCCATGTTTAACCACTTGTGACCCCTTGACTAGCATGGCTCGCCTGTCAAGCTAATGTGTAGATGGTTGAATGATGTCTTGAAGACTTAATATATGATGAAGATCCATTCAATTCAGAATTTAAAAGTATATAATTCAACATTTTATTTATAGGGGAGAATATATTTTTTGGAGAAAGGCCTAGCACTAAGGTTTAAACTGATTTCTTGAAGTAAATTCAAATTAATTAAATTTTATTGAAATGAAATCTGCACAAAAAATCATAATGTGTGTAGTATAATATATTATATACTTATAGGATTTTTTTAAGTTAGATTAAAATCTCTTAAGGATTTTTTGTTTGGTTTAATGTAAATGAAAATAAAATTAGGAATTTAAAGATAATATAAAATTTGCATGAATAAGTATCACCCAAAATTTCAAGTTTTGCAACCAAGTCATCTGTCATTTACAACTGATGCGCAAGCCAATCTTATCAGAATGGGGCAAACAGTAAAAGTGGTACGTTCTGGTATTCAAGTTTTAAATCCTATATATTAGTGGCAAGTTCTTTAAATGTGGTCACTGTCACTCTTGCCATCTTAGGGGGCAAAAAGTGGAATCTACTCATGTTATTTGGGTGGCTATATTGTTTAGGCTACTTTGGTTACTCTAATTAAACTACAAAAAAGAAGTGTTTCATATTTTCAGTATCAGGAAGCCAATTATTTATTTGGTCTAATTAGAGATGCTTATTTGCCAGGGAAAAGTCCAGGTTGTGATTAATGTGCACAGGGCAGCATTGCACTTTATCAATGGTGAGGTCTCGTCAACTGATCGTGAAGTAGCATGTGCCTTTTGATCTTGTCATAACTACTATGTTGATTCCACTTTTTATCCTTTAATCACGCAGGCGTAAAACAATACCACTTAACACATGAGCTTGCTGAGGAAGGATTTTCTATCAGCCCGGATGAACTGGCAGAAATTACTGGCATGCGCGAAGATTCGACAATCTTGAAGCTGCATGGTGGAACCAGCGGAATATCTAGGAAAATCAAAGCCTCTCTGCAAGATGGTGTCAATGAAATTGAAATAACAACCAGACAGAAACTGTATGGTACTAACATGCACGCCGAGAAGCCCGCTAGAAGCTTCTGGATGTTTGTGTGGGATGCACTACATGACCTGACTCTGAATATTCTCATAGTGTGTGCTCTGGTTTCTCTGGTTGTTGGCCTAGCCACCGAGGGGTGGCCGAAGGGTATATATGATGGTCTTGGCATAATACTCAGCATTTTGTTGGTGGTACTAGTTACTGCCTCCAGTGATTACAAGCAGTCAAGGAAGTTTATGGAGCTGGACCGTGAGAAGCAGAAAATATATGTCCTTGTTACTAGAGATAAGAAAACCAAGAAGGTTTTGATTCAAGACTTGGTCGTCGGCGACATCTTGCATCTTTCGATTGGTGATGTGGTTCCTGCAGATGGCTTGTTTATATCTGGCTACTGTCTACTGGTAGATGAATCTAGCTTGTCAGGTGAGAGTGAGCCAATTCAAGTTTCTGAAGAAAAGCCTTTTCTCCATGGTGGGAGTAAGGTGGTTGATGGGACGGCTAAGATGCTTGTCACTGCCGTCGGTTCACGTACCGAGTGGGGGAAAATCATGGGCACTCTTAGTGACAATGGAGTGGATGAGACTCCTTTGCAAGTTAAGCTCAATGGTGTGGCTACGATCATTGGACAGATTGGACTTGTGTTTGCTATTCTCACATTTGTAGTACTTCTAGCAAGGTTCTTGGTTAACAAGGGAATGGATGTCGGTTTGATGAATTGGTCGGCAAACGATGCATTGACGATAGTCAACTACTTCGCTATTGCCGTGACCATCATCGTAGTCGCAGTCCCTGAAGGTCTACCGTTGGCTGTGACCCTTAGTCTTGCATTTGCCATGAAGAAGTTGATGAATGACAAAGCACTAGTCAGGCATCTCGCGGCGTGTGAAACGATGGGTTCAGTCAGCTGTATTTGCACTGATAAGACAGGAACTTTGACAACCAACCACATGATTGTCGATATGGTTTGGATCGGCAATATATCCAAGTCAGTTAATGGTGATTCAAAAATCACCGAGCTAAAATCTGTAATTTCAGAAAGATCTATGGCAATACTTATACAAGGCATATTCGTGAACACCGGATCTGAGGTGGTGAAGGGAGATGATGGCAAAAGGACCATCTTGGGCACACCAACTGAAGCAGCATTGTTGGAGTTTGGCTTGACCGTAGAAGGAGATCGATATACTGAATACAATAAGATTCGAAGAGTAAGAGTAGAGCCTTTCAATTCAGTCAAGAAAAAGATGTCAGTGATAATACACTTACCAAATGGAGGCTTCCGATCCTTCTGTAAAGGTGCACCAGAAATTATTCTAGAACACTGTGATACCATGCTGAACGGTGAAGGGGATATAGTACCACTGTCAGATATGCAGAAGCAAAATGTCTTGAACATAATCAATTCATTTGCTTCTGAGGCGTTGAGAACACTTTGCATTGCATTTCAGGATCTTAATGAATTTTCTGACGAGCAAACTATACCAGAAAATGGATACACGCTAATAGCGCTTTTTGGTATCAAGGACCCAGTTCGTCCGGGTGTCAGGGATGCAGTAATGACCTGCATGGCTGCTGGTATTACGGTAAGGATGGTTACCGGAGACAACATCAACACTGCAAAAGCCGTTGCCAAGGAATGTGGGATATTAACCGAGGATGGCATAGCGATAGAAGGACGAGAGCTTCACAATAAGAGCGAGGATGAACTGAGGGAGCTCCTCCCTAAAATTCAGGTTTACTTTTACTTAACACGCTTGCTTTCCACTAATTTTTTTATGGATCTGAAGGTCCAGTGTTACCTAAATCTACTTCCTAAGTACAGGTAATGGCCCGTTCGTTGCCTATGGACAAGTTCAAATTGGTAACAAGCCTGAAAAGCATGTATCAAGAGGTAGTTGCAGTTACTGGTGATGGAACCAATGATGCCCCGGCATTGTGTGAGTCAGATATTGGACTGGCAATGGGTATTGCTGGCACTGAGGTACTTCTTGATGTTTCTGTCTAATGTATGCTGTTTTAGGCTTCCATGATCACCATTCAGTAACTTGTCCTTGAAAAAAAGGTTCAGTAACTTCAGTTTGAAGATCTACTGCAGAGTGCAGACAGTCTGAAACTCTGTCTCAGTTGTCTATAAGAAATATTTTCTATGTGCTACCATGCTGTATTAACATTTCATAGATTATGAAGTGATCTTTGACGTGTAATAGTAGCAGGAGCCAACTTAGATGACCCAAAATTTAAATAAGAGTAAGCACCCTTGCATACACTGTTCACTAGATAACTTAAACTGATTTCCCTATTCGTGATGGTAGACACGTTGCACAACTATGATGTTTTTTTTTGGATTCTATTGAGATGCACAACTATGCAATTCAAAACCCATAAGTGAAAAAATTCCATTCTCATTTCTTTTGGGTGATGTCAATTTCTGCCCTGGATTGAAACAATATTCATTTCGCATTGTCTTGAAAAAACATATACTAGTAATCATTTTACAGTACCATTTAAGCTGTGTATAAGACTTTGTTGTGATCAAGTATTTAACCATGGTATTTGATGCAGGTCGCAAAAGAGAACGCTGATGTCATAATAATGGATGACAATTTCAAAACTATCGTAAATGTTGCTAGATGGGGGCGTGCAGTTTACGTGAACATCCAAAAGTTTGTGCAGTTCCAGCTTACAGTTAATATAGTGGCTCTGATAGTGAATTTTGTCTCGGCGTGTGTCATAGGTATTTGCACACTCTCTACCAGTATGATATTCTTGATCCAACCAATGACTGCCTTGGAGCTTGTCTACATGTTGCTCACAGAAGGAATTTCTGTGCATCTTATGCGGAACGAAATTCATGTGCACCAACTTGTGATCTATCTCCTTACTTATGTACCTTTTCAGAACCATTTCATATTTGACACTTTGAATTAACTTACAGGGACTGCACCTCTTACTGCTGTCCAGTTGCTATGGGTTAACATGATCATGGATACATTGGGAGCGTTGGCCTTAGCAACAGAACCGCCAAATGATGAGATGATGAAGCGGTCGCCTGTAAGGCGCGGAGATAGTTTTATCACTAAGGTTATGTGGAGAAATATTCTTGGCCAGGCTTTGTATCAGCTCCTTGTATTGGGCACCCTCATGATAGTTGGAAAGAGACTCCTTGATATTGAAGGTCCAACTGCCGATAAAACGATCAATACTCTCATATTCAACTCTTTCGTCTTTTGCCAGGTATGTGGAGTTAATTTTACATGGAAAAATATTTGTTGCTTCTGCGTATTTATTTTGTTCAGCAAGGTTTCAAAGTCGTCACATGTCATTATGCACATTACTAATCAGTAACTGTTTTCCTTGCGGGCACAGTATTTAACTCTGAAGTCATTGTTATTTCTCTCTCTATGTTCATGTGTTAAACTGTTCCCTTGATCCTAGATAATTTTCTCAAAATTAACCTCAAACTTATATGTAGGTTCTTTAGAAAACATGACCAAATGTTTGTATCACCAGTAGGCGCGAGCTTAATATATAAAGTTCGGGTCTTTTAGTTTTTACTGTTCACCGGGTGCAGATGAGCCCGGGCTCAGAAATGGATATTCAGTTCTGGTTCTGTGGGCTCTTTTTATTTGAAACTTCAGGTTTCATATTGTCCAATCATATTTGAAAATCTATGCGACAATGTACAAATATGGTCTGGTAACTCAAAAATGAGTTTTGCAGTGAAGCTATAGGAATCAGTGCATCATTTTAACGAGAAATTTGTATTTAATATGCTGCCATGCTTCCAGGTTTTCAACGAAATAAACAGCAGGGAAATGGACAAGATCAACGTCTTCCGAGGGATATTCAGAAATTGGATCTTTGTCGGCATACTGACAGCTACAGTAATATTCCAAGTGATCATAGTGGAACTTCTTGGAACTTTCGCAAACACCGTGCCGTTGAGTTTGGAACTATGGTCGCTCAGCGTCGTTCTTGGCTCAGTTAGTATGATTGTCTCCGTGATCCTCAAGTGCATTCCAGTTGAATCTGGGAAGAGATTTACCAAGCCGCACGGGTATGAGCTGATCCCTGAAGGCCCGGAAGCTCTCTAGTTTCAAGACGGTGCACAAATTCAGCCGTTTTGACGGTGGCCACCCAGTCAATCAGTGAACAGGATCTCTTGTCTGGGTTGCTTTGCTAGTGTAGTTGTGATGAAGGAAAAATGATCAGATAAGTTTAGAATTTGGAAGTTGGAAACATTGGATTACTGGAAAACAGGGAAAATGGAGCATTAGATCAGTTCAAGCATATAATGGGTGAGGGTGTACATTATGGCTTGTCACGGTTTCTCCTTTTGCAGAGTGTGGATTGGAATTTGGAAGTACATACGTAACAGTTTTGTTCAGGATGGCTATATTAGCTGAAGAACTCTTTGTAGCAATACCGGCATCCATTGTGATGTGCAGCAGGTGCTCTGCATCTTCCATTCATGTGTAATAATTGTAAATTGTAACTATCATATTCATTTGCAAGTTGTAGCTATTCATGTCTGGAAATAAATCTGAATAAGACATTGCGCTTGAGTCAAACAATTTGCTCT